TATATATCATTTACTACTAAGACAGTACACCCATAAAGAAATTGCTGCATGTCAGCTGTGACAACAAAGACATTACATTATCACTTTATCTATTTCTATCCTACTTTCATTTCTTATGGAAATGTAGTCTTATGAGATCACCATGCTGTCTGCCTCCCCTCCCATTTCAATGTTTAAGACTATTTTTCTTATATTGAAAAAATAAAATGAAAATAATGACATCATTTTCCTGTCTGAATAATCCCCCATCAACTACTCAAAGCCAGCATAGTTGGGCCAGCAGTGATGGCTGTCACAATAACATATATGTGATGTGACATTATGCCTGCAAGCCAGAACAGGGCAGTCAGAAAAGGACTGTGGAGACAGCCACTGTTAGGCAATAGTTTAGTACTTGAGTCTTCTAACTCTTGGGTTTCTGCATGCTGCAAACAATTGCTAATCACAGTCAAAGTCAGAGTCAGAGTTACTTTAGGACTGGCAGTTTACCGCCAATCAGGTCATCTTGGTGACAGCCCCTTGAGAACCACTAATACAAGTTTTATTTTCCAACTGAACACTTGCCGTTATAGTCCTTATGTAATATCCTCTATGATGAGAGGATGGGTCTCTCATTTACAGTTGCTGGTGGTCCTTGCCAGTGCAGTTATTCACAGGTCCAAGTCTCACAGGACTCATGACAACATTTTACTGTCTCAGATTTGAGGCTTCCCCAACGTAGAGAGCCAGGTCCCCATATTTATATCCACCAGGAACAGGGTGGCCCAGTTATACCCCCAGACACTGGGTTCCTTTTTCTCAATCTCCTACAACTCGCAGGACTATGGTGGAGATATCTGAACCCACCTCCACATGGAATATATATGCTAACCACAGTACTGAGATGTCCACTATATATAACCCAGAGCTGTACTGCAGAGAAAACACCGTTTCCAGCAGTTCCTCTGCTGTTAGCCTACTCTCCTTGTGTACCTGTATGTGTATTCCTGCTATCACTACCAGGCAACAGCTTGGTAAACATGTTCCCCTGGCAACAAATACACATACAACAATGGAAGAGTTGTTTGAAGCATCATTTTCCATGTTTTTGATGTTGTATCAGAGAAAAGTAAGCAACTGGTTCTTCCCAGAACTTTTTGTTTTTTGTCAGATGACAAATTCTTAATGACACATGACACGAACATCATGCCACTGGAAGCCACTTTTAAGATCTTACTTTTCAATATGACATAAATGGCTCAACATAATTTTACCAGTTTTATTATATCACTTTTTAATATTATTATTATGCAGTCATGATCATTAGAATAATCACAGTTCACACACACACACACCTTGTTTTACATTAATGTATTATTAATGTATATTAATGTAAATACATTCCCGCAGAAACAAATATGCACATAACAATAGCCTTACTGCCGAAATAGGGTGTTTTCTATGTGGTCCAGGCAAAGCTGTTATAAGCAGGACAGTCTGAAGTAATGAGTTCAGTTGAGCTCTGCAAGGGAGGCTGAGAAAAAGTGGTGCTACAGTTCAGTTCATAGCTGGCAGTCAGTTCTGTATGGGACATAATGCAGAAGCAGAAGAATAACTGTTGTTAACATATGTTAACCAGGAAACATCTAATGGAAATACTGCAGTGGAATAGCCACTGTTGAGAGCTGTTACCAAGCAATGACTAGTGAAAGGAGACTGAGAAGACTTAGCATGGAGTGATCTGTAGTGTGGAAATTAGTGACAGCATGATAGTTATTTGTAGTTACGTCCTAAAGTGGTCAATAAATCTAATTATCCAAAACCCCATCTATAGTCACATCCCTAAAACATGACAACGGGTGCCAGAAGTGGCTGGACTGGTTATGGCATTCAATCTTGATTACTATATTCCCACATTATGGAAGTCAAACAAATGATGGCATGAATACTAGCTGAAATGAAAGCTGAAATAAGGGCCAACCAAAATAAAAATTGATGTCAATCAAGCAGAAATGAAGGCCAGCCAGGCAAAAATGGATGCCAATATATGATAAATGAAAGAAGAAATGCTGGTCAAAATGGAAGCCAAACAAGGGAAGATGATGGCCAATTTAGATGCCATCACAAGACGATGATGACCAATATGGACTCCCAGTCAAAGAAAAATGGAGCCCTGTGTAGGAAAGACAGAGGCCATGGATTCTGAGGCAGATCTGTAACAAACTGAGTCTGAGTTGGTGCATGAGAAGGTCCATAAAGAAGAGGATATGGTAAAAACTTTCAGAGAACAAAAAAGTGGCATGGGGACCAGCATGTCCCCAGGCACTGCCGCCTGCAGAGGAATAACCCACTGTGCAGGAATGGGTCGGCATAAGAGACACAATCATACAGGACCAAGAGTCTAAGAGAGACGATGGATAAAGCAAACCAGGGAACAAGGAGAACCTCAAAAAGACAGACGTTCAGGAAGAGACATCAGGTGAAACCAAAAGGCATCGCTGGAATAAGGTACCAAGGCTCAAGTCAGCAGCTACGTCTCAGGAAGGACAAGACGACTGGCAATGGCATCAGAGGATGAAACAGGAGGCAGGAGCCACATCTGGGAAGCAGAAAAACACTCAGGAAGACTTAGTGCTGGAGATCACAAAGCAAACATTTGAGACTTCCATTTGATTGCAGAAAGTGTGTGGCTGGACACGGAGGAGGGGTCAGCCGGCACCAAAACGAAAGAAGAGACCGCTAACAACAGACTAAAGGCCACGGATTTAGGAACACTGACCACTCTCTGAACTATGCCTTCACCGATTAGAAAAGCAGGATGAAGGTGATATACCTGAACTGGTTAGCACCTTATCAGGAAACCACTCAGGACAAGCGGCCTTTAGGGGGGAGCAGTCAGAGAGTAAACACCATGCAAACCATGTCACGGGGAGGAAATTGAGACCAATTGCAGAGGTCACACGCACAACCCTTAGAATATAAGAAATTGCAGTACAGCTGCAGGAAATTCAGGATGAAGAGCCTTATGGAGGGAGTAATGTGGTGTATCGCCCCGTTGCTAACCAAAAACATCAAAACAAACAACGAAGCAACAGCTGCTGCTATGCAATGGCTGTAAGATAGGTGAATACATGGTCCAACAATAAAGTTCGTGAGCTCGCCAACATGTGCTTGCCATGGCAGCAGTGGACAGAAACCTCAGTATGGTTTGATGATTTCACAGCTGTGTTGTTACTATTCTATGGCAGTCTCTTTCAGAGTGGCACCTACCATTGTCTGAGTGCATTTTGTTGTGCCGTCGCAAAAATGTTGGAGCTTGAATTAGTACAACATACAAACATTAAATTTCTTGTTAATCTTGGCAAGCATGGAAGTGAAATCAGAGAGATGTTAGTGCAAGTTTATAGAAATAATGCTATGAAGAAAACAGCAGTTTACAAGTGGGTGACACGTTTCTCTGAGGGAAGAGAGGGTCACTGACAAGCAGAACTGAAGAAAACATTGCAACAGTTCATCCAATTGTGCGTGAAAACTGTCGGCTGACCATCAGCAGCAAAGAAGAGCAAGCGAACATCGACAGAGAAACAGTCAGGAAAATCTTAACTGAAGATCTTGACATGAGGAAGTTGTGTGCGAAAGTAGTCCTAAAGCAGCCCACCAAAGAACAAGAAAAGTCTAAATTTTCCAAGACGTTTTGGAGAAACAAGATGGCATTCTGGGCCATGTCATAACAGGTGATGAAACATGGGTCTACCAATACGACCCTGAAATAAAGCAGCAAAGTGTACAATGGAAGACTGCCAATTCTCCATGACCAAAAAGGTTCTGTAAGTCCAAATCGAGCTTCAAAACAATGGTACTAACCTTTTTTTGATATTAGAGGAACTCTTCATTATGAGTTTGTACCAAGTGGACAAACAGTCAGCCAAGTTTACTATTTTCCAACAACTCATGGATCTTGCATCACGACAATGCACCTGCTCACACGGCACTGTCTGTGAGCGAGTTTTTAACTAGTAAACAAATAACTGTAGTCGAACACATCTTTATTCACCAGATCTAGCCCCAAATTACTTTTTTTTTTATTTCCAAAGTTAAGGAAATCTTGAAAGGAAGGCATTTTGATAACATTGATGACACAGATGACATGAGTAATATGGCTGCAGCTCTGAAGGACATTCCACAAAATCAGTTCCAAAATTGTTTTGAAGGGTGAACTAGGTGCTGGCATCAGTGCATAGCTTCCCAAGGGGAGTATTTTGAAGGCAACAACAGTGATACTCAGCAATGCGGTATGCAGCATTTCTACCAAGATGAGTCCGTAAACTTTGCTGTCAGACCATGTATACAAGGATAGTATCTGTGCAGCAGACAGTAAACATATTCCCATGGAAACACATATGCACATAATAAGACTTACTGTGGAGATGGGGTGTTTCCTATGTGGTCCATGCTGAGATGTTATGAGGTCAGTTTGAAGTAAGGAGTTCAGTTCAGCTCTGCAAGGAGGCTGAGAAGAGATGGCGCTAGAGTTCAGTTCATAGTTGACAGTCAGTACTGTATGGGACTTGAGCACGGAAGCAGAGGAATAGCTACTGTTAACATCTGTCACCAGGAAACATGTACTGAAAACACTGTAGAGGAATAGCCATTGTTGAGAGCTGTTACCAAGCAATGACTTGTGAAAGCAGACTGAGAAGACTTAGTGTGGAGTGATTTGTGGCATGGAAATCGGTGATAGTTTGATAGTCATTTGTAGTTATGTCCTGTAAGTGGTCAATAATTATTCAAAATTCCACCTATAGTCACACCTGAAATGTGACAATATGAAGCAATCTACGATGGTGAACCACATGCCACCTTTCAAAAATGTCATTTACACTGAATGACCATGAGGTTATCAAATTCACAGAATGTAAAATTCTCTATTACAGATATAGTACCTATGTCTCAGATCATTTAGGTCAGCTGCAAAGTTGATGTCACCCGAAATAAGTATGATGGCTGCTGGACTGCCATGAATATCGGCAAAACGGCGAATTGACTGGCGCAACTTCTCGTCTGCTGCATTTTTGCATGTTGATGCAACATGAATTAAGTTCACCTGAAACAAACAACATATAGACATACAAAACTTGCACAATGACGCTGCCAAGTTCCTGCATACTAATGCAAAATGCTGAAGGTTCAATCATACAGCTATGTCAGCATTTCTGGACTCCAAATAATTCCTGCGGTTTAGAGTCCCATTTCCTCTGTGAAGTCAAGGTAAGAAAGAGTAAGAGAATTATAATACAAAAACAGTAATTATTTCCTTTCTTCCTTCTTCATCCACTCCTTTTCTTGGCTGAATTTTTGCACCTGAGAACGTAAATATGAAATGCATAATATGAAGGGGACGAGAATAAAAAGAGCTAAAAACATTCTTGTGCCAGATTTTATACAGCATACAGAAATCAACAAAATCCACTGTATTTCTACCTATTATCTATTGCTAAAAAAATTCACTTCTAGCATTCCTTGACTGCTGCTGCAACAGCTTATTCCCTCACACATCTTGATCTTTTCCACTGCCACTTGTTCCTGTTATCGCTGCCCTCTTCTCCAAACCCTCCTCCAAATTTATTTATCAGTCCTGTAGCTTGTTTCATTATGTACCGCAGCACTGCTGGTTAAATTATTGAGCTTTCACAAACCTCAGTCAGAGGCGTCAAAGAATACAACTACGCAGATGCATGTTCAAGATTCTGTCTCCATGATACAACATCAGATCAAGCATCTACTGTGTTTCAGTTGGTGATAACCACAAATTTTTTAAAAATTCTATTATGGCAACAAAATGGATGAGCTTAGTTAAACTTAAATATGAAAGTTGAAATAATACATCTATGTGAAGCTGGCTGCTAACCAAAAAATGAAATAGAAAGACTGTACAAATTAACTTATTGGTCACTGTTTATAATAATGAAACAGAGAGAATATGGTGCATACCAAACCAAAGCAAACCAATATTGTTCTCTTTCACTAATACACATCAGTGAAATTAATTTTTGTGATCTCAGTTTGTGAATGTGTAACAAACATGATGAGGTTAGACCCACACTACCTGTACAACATCAGAGGCAAGGGACCTAGAGATGGCATGGTCCCCCTCAGGTATACTATAATGAGGGGCATTTTCATTATGTGTGTAAGTAATTTACAAGTGGCCATCTGATTAGGTCTTCAAATCACATGTTAAATCCTCACAGGCTGATCTCTTGTACTCTTCTGCACTCCTAGTTCCAGTTCGCTCTGAACTTACAGCTCAGGGCTCTAGTTATATAGCCATGGACAGGACATGAACCTACAGTAAACACATAACACATGATCGCTATCCAGCCATTCTATTGATGCACTGGATCTATAGAACACACAGCTTCCTCTATAATTGCATGTTGGTCCATGTTTACAGAGCTGTTGCCTGGCAATGTGTTGATCAAATCCATTTCATTGCTCTCTCCTTAAGGCTGCTTGTCCCAAGCAGCCTAGTAGTGTACCGTCTCTCCTTTCAAGGTCTGTGCTTTCAACATCATCCTGCAAGTTGTTCTTTTCCTTCTTGTGATACTCATTCTACAAGCACTCCCACTGCTCCCTCCTTAAGGCCAGCTTGTTCCAAGCAGTTCCCTTATAAGGTTCCAGTTAGTCCAGGTTCCCACCATAATCTGAAGTTTATCTTCCTTTCTCCAACCAGTGGGGACAAAATTACCTACAACGGCTGATGTTCCCACATATTCAGCTATTCTTACTCTAACAGTGCTAGGAGTTTTCTTTTTTTTTTCTTCTTTTTCAGAGGGGGTCGACCATCCACAACATTTCATCTTTGTTTTCTCACTCTGGACCCCTCCACACTGTCCAGTCTGTCACCTTCTGCAACCCGCTGAACATCCCAGGTGCTCGCTTCACAAAATCCAGGCTGAAAGTCTCCGTCAATCCCATCTAATATCCTTCTGATCTTAAGATGCAGCTGCTGTCTTGTGTCTGGGTCCTTTATTCTGATTTTGCATTCTGGGTCCTTCCAGCATTTCCTCCCGGACATCCAACCCTTTGGGGTTCTCAGTGCAATATCATCCTTTCCTTGTCTCTGAAGCCCATGTTCCCTATGTCATGCCACTTCTGCACAGCAGGTCATCTCCTTGCCGGCTGTGGCCAATTCCTTCTGTAGTCCACAATTTCCCTGGGTCCAAATTTCCTGAAGACATTTCTCTTGTGCCATGCCACTGCTGCATGAGAGGACACATTTCTGCAGGTGGCAGCCAACTTCATCCAGGATCCACAATCTCCTAGGGTCAGTTCCTTTGGCTATCCATGTCATTCTGAAGCTAGATGCCAGCCCATGCTGCTTCTTCATTGTTCCTGAAGAATTCACTGCAGCCTCTTCTGTAGGGACCCACAATGTTCCACTTTGAATTCCGCGTCTTCCACATTTAGCTCCTTATTGTCCAGACATGCCTCTGTCATTACTTCGGAGGACACTGTCTCTTTCTGATTCTTTGACTGGCTCCACATATGATCCTCAGCTCCTCTTGGACGGCTTTTCTATTGGTGTGCAATCTTAAATCCAATAATTCAAACAATCTGATTCCAAATCTGACAACAGCTGTCACATGTTACAGTTAGTCGCTGACATCCCACCGCTGCAGCCTGGGTTTGATCCCGGGTCTGGTCAAGTGGATTTGTGGTGGACAAAGTGGCGCTGGGGCAGGTTTTCTCTGAGTACTTTGGTTTCCCTTGCCAATCTTCATTCCATCAATTGCCGCCAATTCTGCAGCTACTCAAGAATTTCCCAGCATTTTATGGAACCCGAAGGTTCATTACCATGTTCACAAGAGCCCTCCACTGGTCCCTATCCTGAGCCAGATCTATCCAATCCATACCATCCCATCCTATCTCTCTAAGATCCATTCTAATATTGTCCACCCACCTACACCTTGGTCTTCCCTGTGGTCTCTTTCCTTCTGGCTTTCCCACCAATATCCTATACGCATTCGTCTCCCCCATTTGTGCTACATGACCTGCCCACCTCATCCTCCTTGACTTGATCAATGTCCCACCAGACTAGCAATAAAAAATAAAAAAGCTACCTCATATTACAAACAATTCTACGCCATTAACGGTTTTCATGCTAAAATATATATTTTGGAATTATACAATCATCAGTGGAACAGACCAACAGATACTATCAACATCTGGGCTTGCTTGATGAAGGGCATATACCTCTCTGCCTGATATGACTATACTGGCAACTGTACCTATTATATCTATTGTGCAGATGGAGCATGGTGAGAGGGATGCAATGAAGGACTGTTTGTCAATGTCAGAGCAGTATTTTACATTTGATTTTGTTCATCCTGGTCTGTCACACTAGCAATAATATATAATATTATCAAATGCGTCCAGTGCGATTGATAAATGTTTTTTCTCCTTTTTAATCTTTCATCCTTGACATGTTTTGGTCAGAGCAACCATCTTTATAAGGACATATCAATACATGCAGAAGCTATTACAATGTTATTGGTCATTATCAATACATACAGACAATACTATTACAATGTCATGAATATAAAATCTTAGCCTTTAACAATTACAGTGATGTGCCTGAACTTATTAAAATATTTATAAATTATTATAATCAGTTTTCTTACAAGTATTAATAGTATGCATCCTGTTGTGTGTCATAAACAAGGTACACAAAATGTATACAGCAGACTACTCAACATTATTCTGTATCTAAAACAAAGCAGACACTCTTGTATCAATATCTGTTTTTATTGTTGCAACATGTTTCGACCCTTATACTGGGTCATCATCGTTAGATGCAATTCAACAACTGAGTCTGGTATCACTGTATGCTTCATGATGACCTAGTATGAGGTTTGAAACATGTAACGTCAACAAAAACAAATGTTGATATGATAGTGTCTACTTTCTTTTAAATACCGAATATTGTTGTGTAGACTGCATACTTTTATATACATTCTGTGTACCTTGTTTATTTAAAAGTATGGTTTAAAAATCTTTGTTAAAATCTAGAACCATTTGGTTTGTGTCCTTTATACTGCTTCTCTTTACAGGAAGATGAGTGTCTACCATGTTATGGTTCGTTGTTTGACAAACAGGATTCTTTAGTGTTGTCCAGCTGTTCAGGCCATGCTGTGTTGTAAATACTTGTAAGTAAACATTCATGATCATGATCATGATCATCATCATCATCATCATCATCACCATCACCACCACCACCACCCAGGGCTGGTACCCCCTGCCAATTAGTGGCTGACATACCAAGTGGACTCAGTCTCACCCCACCCCCAAGGACTCGAGGAACAAAAAATGAAAGAAGAAAAAAAGAACCTTTATCCAGTTTGCATCCTTAATGCTCACATATTCTCCCACAAGAGTGCATAATGCAAGAGAAAGGTACACTTACATCTCACCAACTATATGGCTGGGCACTACAGGCAGAGGAAAAGCTGATGTGCAGGAGGGGAAGTGATTCAAATTCCGTAACTTTGCCCATTTCTAGATCTGAATGATGGTGTGGGAACTGCCCACATTCAAGCAAGTGTGACAACGCAAGCGTCATTGCTTAGCAACAACGAGTAAACAACGGTCCTAGGCAAAAGCGAGTAAACAGCGGTTGCTAGGGAACTTGTAAACACGGTATCTGACAACAGCAGTACCTATTACGTAACCGTTTTCTATATGTCCGACTCCAGGCTACATAAGAAGATACACTGAGTTACGGTGACAGTCTAGTCCTACCGTTCTACAATACCAGTTCAGTGTTCAAGCAGTTCACTATTGTTGTTATCCATTTGTGTATACTGTGCAGCTGCAATAAATCCTATAGGACAGTTCAACTAGTGGTTGTCTCTTCATTCATACGACATCCCACAATGGTCTGAAACTTATTACATTGTACAGTAATCCATGGCAGTTGATATTCAACTGAGCACAGATTTCCTCTTATGCAATCCAAACCATCAGTCATTACATTTGAGATCTTCTCAACCTACTTCTTTATTTACTGTCTTATGTGTCTGTATGTCTCCACATAATCTATGCACTTTTGATTTTCAAACCAAAAATCTGTATGCATATGCTCTGTCTGTGTCATCTTTCCTGATCTAATAAATCATAACAATACTGGGTAAAACGCACAAAGTAATTTTCTTCATTCACCTGTAACTTCACATCTTTCATCCAAATATTCTCCTGAACACCTTGTGTAATTCGAGAGATTATCTCCATGATGAATTCTTGAATATCAGCTATTAATAAGCAGGTGCATAAAATATGTTATATTTCTAATAAGTTTGTATTTATAATCATTATTGTATTCCGATAATTGTATAATATAGTGACATGTCCTATATCAATGTATCTGACCTACAGGATGAATAAAAATGAATGAATGAATGCTATCTGATGTACAATATTAAATTACCTGCGCATCATTCAATTCCTGAATTACTTGACTGTTTTCTTTTTTAACATCACACACTACAAGGAATTCAGCTTCACGATAGCCACTGAAGAACCTGTCTCTAATAACCTGGGCCACAGCAACAGCTGATCTGCCTTTTGGCACCTGCAATAGGAAAGCAATTACTGCAGCTACTTAAGTCATTCAATTACAGAGTACTGTAAAGCCCGCCATCATGACACTTTAACACAACATTACAAAACAAAGAGAAAGACAGCAAGTAACAAGATTGTAGGGCTATGATACTATAATACGTAGAGCATTCTAAAAGTTCCCCAAATATATTGTAACATGTTTTGCCTACTGAAGATACCGTTCATATTGTTAATTGGTTTATTTAACAACCTACAAGTTGTAGCTACAAATAATTATAACACAGTTGTGGGTTTACACAATTTATAAACCCCACACAATAAGCTGTTCACTCTATCTACAACAGCCTTCACTTATTCACAGTGCAATATGGGAGCTATACCAGTCACTGTATTACAAACTCCCAGTAACTTCTCACACTATGGTCTCTAATCACACGTTCCGGTATTCTTCACGTTCATGATTCACTAACCAAAACTGAACTCAGTAACTGCTACAATTCAACTAAGTCGGCAACTTCACGATCCGCACTGTGTCACTCCTGATCACACACACTCTATATAACTGCTCAGCCGGCTTTTTATACTGTTCGCTGTTGCCTCGTGTTACAGCGGTGCCCCTTGTTATATCGCAGTGGGAAGTGCTGTTACATCACTGCAGGGGAGGGGGGCAGAGTGTTGACTCGCCTGTTACCGTAGCAGCAGCAGTGCTATTACGTCACCACTGGTGGGGGACGGGATGTCCTGCATAACGCAAATACATCACATTGCTCCCTCCTTAAGGCTGTTCATCCCAAATAGCCTAACGGTACATCCTTGTTCCTGCAACATCATCTTTTGGTTTGGCTATTCCTCTTGCAGCGAATATTCTCTGGCCATCACAATATTAATAAAAACTATGACGTCTTACCTGGATCTTATTCTGCACCATCACCTTCAAAGTAGTCCCCTTGGGAGCGCATACACCGATCCCAGTGTTTCTGAAACTTTTGAAATGCATCCTGGACGTCTTTCTTTGTTAGGGTGTTTAGTACCATCAGCATTTCCACTTGAAATTCCTCAACTGTATCAAATCTTCGCCCCTTAAACTTGATTTTCATCTTGGGGAAGAGAAAGAAGTCACATGGAACTAAGTCTGGCAAGTACAGTGGGTGGGGAACAACTGCCGTCTTGTTTTTAGCCAAAAATTCCTGCACAGTGTAAGCCTTATGTGGTCGTGTGTTGTCATGGTGGAGTACCAAGTCGTTCGTGCGCCACTTCTCTGGACGTTATCTCCTTATGTCCTCCCTCAAACACCTTAGAGCATCGCAACAGAACTCTTCATTGACTGTCTGACCAGGAGGGACCAACTAATTATGAACAATCCTGTCAATATCAAAATAATAGATCAACATGGGCTTAAGGTTGCTCTTAACTTGTCAAGCTTTTTTTGGCCAAGGTGAAGAAGGGCTCTTCCATTGCGACGATTGCTGCTTACTTTCAGGGTCATAGTCATAAACCCAACTTTCATCACCAGTGACAACCTTTGAAAAAAAGCTTGGATCCTCTTGAAGCTGTTGTTGAAGTTCCCTGCAGACTTCCAAGTGATGCTGCTTCTGTTCATTTTGCAGCAGTCATCACAGAAATTTCACCACAATCATCATGTTCAGTTCCTCTGGCAAAATTTGTTGACATGTAGTACCATAACTTATTCCCAAGGTGTTACAGAGGTCTTGGATGGTCAGTCTACGATCTTGCAGAATCTTATCCCTAACTTTTGAGACATTTTCTGGTATGGTGCTAATTGATGGCCGTCCAGAACTATCGTCATCATCAGTCGATGTTCGGCCATTTTTGAAACACTTATTCCAGTCGTAAGTTTGTGTCTGGCCTAAACTGTCATCACCAAAAGCTTGCTTCAACATTTTGTGCTTTTCTGCAGAGGTTTTCCCCAAGTTCAAAACAAAATTTTATACAGACACACTGCTCTCTCTGGTCAGCCATCGCAAAACCGCAAACTCATGGAAACATAACAATGGAAATACATTCACCAACAATAAACCCAACCACTCAACTCGACGCCCCTTAACACACTGATTCAGGAAGGGTGTGTGGGGAGATACCTTGCAGTATTTCGATGTACTCATAACTATTCACGTGCAAAATTCAAATTTCTGGAACTTTTGGATTGCACCACGTATTTATGAATGTTCTTCTTTACATCATATTTTCATTACTATGCTCCTGAAATTGATCTGCCAACATTCACAGAATGCCTAATAAATATGAACAAGACACTTCTAATGAATAACTTACCTGGCAATTTTCAATATCCCAAAATACCCCAATTGGTGGAAGGAAATGGGGAAGAGAATGCAATGCAACTGGACTACCATCACTTTGGTACCCTCTGAATGTCAACAATGGATGGTGAACTGTGATGGGAGAGGACTGTCCACCAAGACCAGATTCTGACTGGCTGTCAGAATCAGAGATGCTGTAACAGTAAGAGCAAGCTGACACCGGCCGTCGAGGATGAAGCTGTGGCGGAGGAGGCGGAGGAAACACAAAGCATCCAGCAGAAACTGGTTCTGGTGTAACTGACGCTTCTTCTGCCATCTCAAGTTCATCACAGCTGTGTACGCAATCAACCCGCTTCTGCATTGCTAGAACACAAAAAAATGGCATATGTAAATTAAATACTTCCATAATCGTTCTGTTCAGATACTGTTCTTACGCTAACCTTCATCTTTCAATGTAAACGAGCTCACATTTCTGTTTCTTTTCGAAGACGTTCTGTTGGGCCACACGTACATTCAGTTCCTGATCGAAGAATACTGACTTTACTTTTCTCGGCATTTCGATCTCCCGACAGCGTCACTATCATGATGGTGATTCCCAAACATACAAACCTAAATGGAGAACAACCAGTAAGCTAACAGGTAGCTTGTATAACATCATCGTGCATCAGTGATGAAATACCAGTGGATAACACTTTCAAGAATTATGTGTGGTAAACGTTTCTCCACTCACCCAACATCTTCATTTACACAAATCGACCTCGCTCCTCCCGCTCATCCTTCCACAAAAATTTCGATCACATTACACTTCGTCCTCCATTACCACTCAATGACAAAAACCTACTACCCTTCAATAAACTGCGCCGCTTGATGAGCAAGACATTCCGAGGATTCCGAGCCTCCGAGAGTTCCGAACCAATCATAACCGGAAGTAATCGCTACTAAGCGTAACGCCATTGACTTTGCACCGTATGCATTATAACCACTAGTAACCACGATGGTGGGTTATAGAAAGGACCTATACATGTATACTAATTTCTCCTTTCTCTATTTTCAAATTCTAGTTATTCATTCGGTACTGATCGTCATTGTGTTGAATTCTGTCCCTGTATAAAAGATTATTAACGCCGCCCAGTGTGATTGATAATTTTTTTTATTATTAATCCTTAAGGCTGGAAACACTCCAAGGAAACTGGCAACCGCATTGCAACAACGATTTCCGAGAAATATCGCCGATTTCAAGCAGGTTTTCAAATTAGCAGGCGCACACTGAGGAAACTTATGTTCGATTAGTTGCTCACATCATCTCAAGTGGCTGTGTTTGCCCGCCAATTTCATGCACTTCTCTTCTGCAATGTCAGATAATAATATTGTTCCTGTAATGATATGCTGGTGGCTGAGACGGTGTAAGAGGATAAGACAGGAGAAATGGAAACATTGGGTGCACTCGTTCTTTCGCGAGAATTTAAACTGAGGTGTCTGTATTGTTTTGAAAGAATTTAATCAGGATACAGAACACTGCAAATCATTTTACAGAATAAGCATTGAAAGTTTTATTATATTAGTGGATCTTGTAGGACCTCAAATTCGAAGACAAGATACAAATTTTCGTACAGCTGTGTCAGCAGAACCATAGGCGAAATTATAGTTTTGTATATTCTAATTTTTATGTTTTTGGACAGCAAACAAGAAGACAAAAGAGTCTGGACTGAATGATAACAAGCATTACCCGAGTTCAGTCTCTTAATTTCCTCCTGAATCAAGTGTCCGTTTGTTACCATCCCCGAATATTTGAACTGTGCCACATTTTCAAAACATGTTATCTATCTTTATGTAATGATTTTGCTCTACATTTTGGTGATGAGACAGCAACTGTTCTGACTTGTTCTGTATCCATAGGTACTAACCTGCTTAGGATTTATAGAATGTAAATCAATTCAATTCAATTCAGTTCAATTCAACATATACTTAGTTTTCTCTATGTTTACTTCTAGACCAATCTCTTTACTTGCATCAATTAAAGTTTTATGTTTATCTTTATGGTATGTATTATCAGCCAGTAGGTTCACATCAGCGTAGACCAACAGCTGATTTGTCCCATTCAGTTTCACTCCCACCTGGTTTTCCTGGACCTTCCTAATGGCATATTCTAAAGCAAACTTGAAAAGGAGTGGTGATAAAGCATCTTGTTTTAGATCATTCAGAATAGGGAAATTATCAGAAAAATATTTACCTATATGGACTTTACAATATGTTTTGTTTAAACACATTTTAATCAGCCTGACTAGTTTCATGGGTATCCCTAACTCTATGAGAATATTGTACAATACTTCCTTCCTAAGTGAATCATAGGCTTTCTTGAAGTCTATGAATAGCTGATGTACACTTATTCTGTTCCAATTTTCTCCAGTTATCTGATGAATGCAAAAGAGCTGATCAGTAGTTGATCTGTTACGTCAAAACCCACACTGATGATCCCCAATAATTTCATCTATGTATGGACTTAACATTGAGACAAGAATGTTGGATAAAATTTTGTATGAAGTTGATTGCAGTGATATCCCTGATAATTTCTACAGTCAGTTTTACCACCCTTCTTTAGAACTGGTACAATAATAGACACATGTTTCCTTATGCCAGATAGAATTAATTAGATTGTGGATCTTAGAACATAATATTTAGCCTCCTGCTTGAATAAGTTCATCTGGAATTTGATCACTACCTGGTTATTTATACCTTTCCAATTTTGCAATAGCAGTTTCAACCTCAAAAAGGCTAGGACCAGGTACTAACAGCTCAGCTGTATGTATTTCTATCTGCTTAACATCACTGAGCCTATGTACATTCAATAACTGAGAGAAGTAGTTCTTCTACATGTTCAAAATGTTGTGGGAATCTGCAAGCAGATCACCATTCTCATCCTTCACTAAGTTACTTCTTGGTTGGTAACCTCTCTTAAAGTCATTTATTCCTCTATACAGGTCTAAATGTTCTTCTTCTTACTGTTCATTGCAAGCTCATCAATTTTATATTTCAGGTATTCCCTCTTTGTATTCCTGAAATGCCTGCCGGTTTCACTTCTTATGCTGTTGAGATTAACCCCATTTATTTCACTTGGATCCTGTAACCACTGCAATTTGACTAGTTCTCTTAGGTCTAATAATTTTGAGCATCCTTCATCAAACCATGGCTCATGCTTCTTCAGCTCATAATAACCTAGCCTCTCCTTGGCAGAAATTTTGATATTCTCTCTAATTTTTCCCAAGCCTTATTAACATCTACCTCAGTGTCTAGATTTCCCAAAGCTGCAAACCTATTTATGATTTCAACATGATACTGCTCTTTACCCTCTATCTCTTTTCATTTCTTGAGACTGAACCTCTTCATATGAACTCTGAGCGTTTTTTGTTCCCGCACTGCCAGTCTTTCCTTAACCTTTGCCACCATCAGGTAGTGGTCAGTATCACAATATGCTACCCTGAATGACTGGACATCAGGTATACTTGTATGCTGTCTCCTATCTAACAAAATATGGTCAATCTGACTGTGTGTCTTCCCATCAGGAGATGTCCAAGTAAATTTATGAATGTTACATTATGGGAACTTTGTACTTTTGACAGTAATATTTTTCAATATGGCAAAGTTTACCACTCTAACTCCATTATCATTAATAATTTCATGCAAACTCTCATTCCTGATCATTGGTTTGATAATGTCTTCCCTCCCTACTTTGGCATTGAAGTCTCCTAGCAAAATCTTCATATGGTACTTTGGGAATATCAGGTGTCTTCTATCTTGCAAAAATTGTTGCAGTGTATGTCAAAATTTGGTATCGCGTGTGAACACGATATTTCCTCATTAGAATAAATTGGCCTTAATTAAAACAAGTTAATTAACATCCCAGTATTTTTCTTATGGTTTTCGTCATCTCTTGTCACTCCATCTCAACGGGTCCTGACTACCACCATATTATGACAGGATCAGTTTTACTGTTTTCCATTGCAGAAGGCAAGTGCATGAAATTAAAAAATACAATCATATCTAAAGTCAGATGAACATACTCACTTAAGATGATGTGAGCAACTAATCAAACAAGTTTCCTCAGTGTGCGCCTTATAATCTGGAAACCAGCTGCTTTGGTGTACCCTCGCTCTTGTAATTACTTGTAGTTATGATTTATAAATCCAGTTATCAATCCAAAACCTGTGTCTAGTCACTAACATGTGACAATTTTATTACTTATTTGTACCATCTTGGCCACCATCAGGGCATTTATGTATAGGGTAATTAGAAAGCTATAGAAGTTTGATAGCATGTTATATTATGTAAGTAAAAAAATCACCTTTGAAGTTTGTAATTGATAGTATTTACATCTTAAGAATAAAGCCATGTTATTTTAATTTTCTTTGTAGCAACATCACCTACGTTTATACTGTTGTATATTTAGATCCTTTTATGGGGTTATTCAAATTGAATCATAGAAATTTAACTATCCACATAATGTTCACAGAAGGGACGCAGACTGGTAGAGAATCTCTCTTCAAAGTTTCTTACAGACCCTACAGACATTCGGTGTGAGTCCCACAAGTCAAGTAACAGACGTTGATCCAGTGTTCCGATTTTTCCAGACACTTATCTGCATGTCTTAGTAATTGACACCACTGCCATTAGTGTAAGATCTTGTGACCTGTGGAGCCAGGAGCATCACATTTTAGCTTATTTGGTTTCATGTCCTGTCCATTGTGGCAGCATGTTATTCAGGTACAGGCGAAATACAACTTATGAACATAATGTGTTCTTTGAAATTTGTAATTAAAATGTTCGTAAGTTGAATTGAATTTTCATAAGATGTGTGATTAAATTTGTTAATGTTAATTTGTCAGAATGTCCATAAATATGTGATTCTGGGTTCGTTAAATGAATTGGGAGTTTAAATTTATTCACGTCTTCAAAGTTTGTAAGTAAAGCTTCACCTGTATTGCCACACACAACACAGGAAATGAGGAAAGCTTCCTAAACTGCATATACAGCAGAACTTGGTCATAACGTCATCAAAGGGACCTAAAAATAGTGTCGTTATAAACGAATGTCATAACCGAAATGGGCACTTCCACAGTAGCCTTATGTTAGTCACGTAAAAATCTACCAAAA